GTACTGGTGAGCTTTATGGAGGGTGTATTTGGTACACTGTTCTCTCCATCATGATGCTGGAACAGCAACAGTGTGTGTGAGGAGGATTCTGCTGACTTATTTCCCTACTCAGGAAAGTTTCTTCTTAGATTAAAAACAAAGGAACTGTAGTTATAGAATTCAGATGTGACTGGTTAAGGAATAAGAGAAAAGACAAGCATTATTATCCCATTAAATAGAGGCTCAAAGGTATTAACGTGCAACTGAATGTCATGGAAATACTGAGGTACAGCTCTAGTTTCAAACTCTTCTTCAGTGACAAAGCCGGGGGCACCTCAGGGAGCTTCCCGTCCCTCTTCTGAATGCCCCCTGCTTTCCCACCCAGGCACACCCCAGGGGCTCCCAGCCCTGCCCGCGCACGAACAATGAGTCAGTTAATGAGGCACGTGCTTTCAGAGCAGATTTAATAAAGAAAGCAAACTGTTCCTGGTGGCCGCCCCAATCCTGGGTGCCATGCCTTTTGGCGGCATTGGGGATTTTCCTGGGTGAGGGGCTGGCTGCGGCTCTAGGTATCACCCCCTTCTGACACCCGCCAGGCCCTGCATAGTTGCAGCAGTGTTGGGATCCTATTTGGGGGTATGGGGTCCTGACGGTCCCCACAAGAGTGTCAGGATCTCTCTCTCCAGCTGGCTCCAGGGCGCTTGGCCCCGCTGGTGGCCCGGCTCGAGCTACAGAGACTTCTGATTCCTCCTGTGGCCAGAGGCCAGCTCTGCTGACGGGAGAGACGAGCAGACAGGGTAGGAAGTGAGCTTTGCGCTCCTTTTACTTTGGGGCTCGGGTGCCTTTTGCCCCAACAGTCAGGCTTCCCAGGGTGGAAAAAAACTCCTCCATTTCCTTCTGCAGCAGCTGGTTCCTCCTCTCCGCGTCCTCCCGCGCCCGCTCCGAGTTCCGCAGCTTTATCTCCAGCATGGTGTACTTTTTCTTTTCCTGGTCCAGCTCTTCTTCTAACCGGGACATGCGCTGTCTCAGGTCAGCACGACCTTCTTCAATTCTTAAAAATCAAAAAGAAAGACATTGATTCAGGCTTGGGCTGGCTGGGCACGCCAGGCAGGCAAATGTGGCCTGCTGTGCACATGGCAGGACAGGGGCGGCTGGCCAGGCCTGGCCCATGCAAGGGAGGGACCTCACGGGCCCCAACCACTCCTCCCAACAACCTGTCACTTTACCCTGACCAAGCCAGGCTTCCCCACGGCCCGTGATCCAAAAATGCCACCAAGAAGTGCACTTTCAGCACTGGAGGCCTCCTGAGTTCTCACTAAAATAAAAACACCAATTGTGCCTCCAGCAACCGCCAGTCACCTGTCCCACTGAGGGACCACCTGCCAGATGGCTGACAGCACCACAGGTTCCTGCAAAGTCAGGGGAGTGCAAACCATCCCTGCACCTCTGCTCTCGTGCTCTGCCTCCTGCCCACTGTTCCTCACTCCAGTCCCCAAGCTCACACCAGACACTGTGCCTGCAGGGAGCCCCGTATGGCCAGTCATGTCCCTTCCTGCGTGGACTTCATGCCCCAGCTCAAATGTTCCCCCTTTGTGACACTTCCTTTGGTCCTCCCCACAGGTCACAGCAGCACTCCTTTGTGCCACCACAGAACCTACACCCACGCCTCTGTGGAGGTTTACACTGCTTTGAGCAAAGGTTGGCATGTCTGTCTTTTGGACCAGACAACCAGCTCCTGTCCATCCCGGATGCCTGAGCCCGGCCCCTGGAAACCCACACACTGGAGTCTAGGGCCCAGCTGGGTTACGTATGAGCCACATGGCTGTGGGCAGGACACAGACTGCACTGAGCCCAGCGTCCTCTTCTGAAATGCAGAGGGTAACCCTGCCCCAGAGCGTAACAGTCCCCAGGAGCAAGGAAGAGGAGGTGTGCACAGCACAGTATCTGCAGCGCTGTGTACGTGCACAGCACGGTCACGTCCCCACCCCACCAGGAGAGGGCGCGGGCCTCCAGCTGATCACGAGCCCAAAGGGAGAAGACCGCGGGCCTGCCTGTCCTCGTGCTCTCTATGCCACGCCTTGAGCGACCTCGTCCAGAGTCAAGACTCTAAGCCCCATCTACTTTCTGGCAACTCTCAAATCTGTGCATCGAACAGTGAGCAAAACCCACTGGCTCTCCCTTCAAAATACGTTCAGCATCTGGCTGCTTCTCCCCATCTCGACTGCTGCCCCTTTGGTCCGTGCCACTCACCCCCACGGGGCCTGAGCTTCCCACAGTCCTCAGCACATGAGCCAGGTGCCCCTGTCAAAGCGACGGAAGTGCTCAGGACCCTCCAGCGCCTTCTAATCCCATTGTCATCTCCCTCCAGATAAAACCCGGAGCATCGCCCAGGCTAGCGGGCCCCAGCCCTGCCCTGCCGCCTCCGGCTCCCCTTCCTTCCACACTGATTCCTCCTTCTCCCCCACCCACCTTCCCACGTGCCATGATTTTTTAAAATCTATCTTGTTTATGGTCTCCGTTCCCCTGCCCCCCATATAAGAATGGGGGCAGAGAGTTCGGCGAGTTTTGGTCACAGCTGTGTCCCCAGATCTAGCATAGTGTCTGGTACTACACAAGTATCAGATGCTCTTTGAGGAACTCCAGAAGGAGGCCGACGCCCATCCAGGGCCCAGGGAGGGCTCTGAACTCTGGGGAGGCAGGGCAGGGAGCTGGTCCTGCCACACGCCCCCACCCCGCCTTCCTTCCCGTGCTCGGAGACCCTCCATTCCAGACAGCCTGCCAGGGACACGGGACAGGCCAGGAGCCCAGGCGGCCTGCCCAGAGCCCACCGCCACCAACACTGCGTCTCCCTGAGAAAACGAGCCTCTGGGAACGCGGACCGGGAGGCGGTCCCCAAGTGGACAGGAGCCTGGGGGCCGTGTGTTGACAGCTTTCCATACAGTAACACGAGGGCACCTCAAAGAGGTCGTGGAAAGATTCTTACCACCTTTTAATTCTATTTTTCCCCAAACTTTTTGAAGTCCCCTCGAACTTCCCACACACCCTGAGGTTTCTGTCTGTGACTTGTCTTTGGCAGTTTCACCTTCCACTGCGTCTCTAGAGGGGACTCGACAGTCACTTCTGCCTGGTCAATTCCCAGCCAGGACATGTATTTGTGTGTTTTCCCCACAATTTCATACCGCGGGTTTTACTTGCGCTCTTTCCTTTCTCCTTGGCTCAGCTCGATCCCATTGGTCCTTTAAGAGCTGGCTCAGGCACTGCCTGCCGTGACTTCCCCGTCTACCCTTGAAGTCCCTCTCCCATCTCTCCCCAGCACAGGCGTGGCGCCTGCACACACCCAGCACTCTCCGTGCCCAGGAGACGGCTGCCGGCACAGCCACAGGGCCAACGCTGCCCTTCCAGCTCGCTGTGCAAACCTGGGCTCTGAATGAGAAGCAGGAGTGACTGATGGACGAAGGAAGCCCCCGGGCCGCCAAGGCCCCCACTCATGTGCGGGACCTGGTTCACCAGCACTAAAAAGCCAGAGACGCGGAGAGCAGCGCTGTGTGCTCTCCAGCCCCGCCTGCCACTGACCTCAGTTGGAGAACGTGGCCTCCAGGAGCCCGAGGTTCCTCACTGCAGAGGGGAAAGCACCACGCCCTGGGGAGGCTGGGAGGGTGGAGCCAGGGCCCACCCAGGTGCACGCCTGCAAGCCTGCAAGCCTCAGGGTGCGGTACAACGTCCTCCTGCCACAAGGGTGGGCAGGGGGCTCAGCGCAGCACCAAATCAAATTCCCATCCCCACCAGGCTGACCTGGGGCCTGGGGCCCATGTGAGCACTTCCCACGCCAGCGCCTGGGCTGCAGGTGCAGTACAGACCCCAGGACCCTGCTGCCTGACAGAGGACTCCACGCAGGCTCTGGCTTCAGGCCCTTCCAGCTGCCCGGGCTGACATGCTTGCAGCCCATGCCTTCCACGCTTGCAGCCCATGCCTTCCACAGGCATTTATGGAGTGACAGCTGCATGCCTGCCTTGCAAGCTCCGGACCTGCCCAGATAGGGGATCCCTCCCAACCCCCCGCCATGTCCTGGGCGTGCTCCAGGAAGGGCTGTTCCAGGGGCTGGCTGCTGAGCCCTGCCTCCCGGGGGCTTTCTTCCAGAGCCAAGGCTGCAAGGCGGGAGGCAGATGCGCAGCCAGCACTGTGAGCCCGAGCAGCCAGGCGGCCACAGCCTTTACCTTTTCATGCTCGCCTCGTACTCAGTCCTCTGCCGGCACAGCTCCGCCCTGAGCTCCGTGACCAGGCCCTGGAGAGCCTGGCAGCGGCGGGTGTAGTCCTGGCCGGGGCTGCCTGGGTCGCTGGGCTCACTGCTGCTCACGCCCACCCCGTCCAGGCTGTGGCCCAGGTCTGGGGACCCGCGGTCCTCGCTGCTGCTGGGGAGCGGAGAGGGCTCGAGGGCCCACTCAGTGTGTAGGGAGCTGCACATGGACGAGTCGCTGGCCCTGCAGGCTGTGCAGCTGCTGAGCGAGCCCCGGGCCGAGGCCTCTCCCGAGGACGGGGCCCCGGACCATGCCGTGCTGGCCACGTTGGCAGTGCTGGGGAAGGGGCTGGCCGGGGGCACGTTGTCGTAGGTGGACAGTCTCTGGGCCGACCCTGAGTCCTTGAGCCGGTCTCCCGATGAGGCCCGGCGGTGGCCGCGCAGAGAGGAGAGCCCGTTCATGAGCCAGTTCCCACTGGAGGAGATAATGGGCACCTCCAGGGATGAGCTGCCCCCCTTCGGGCTTCCTGACCGGGACCCTGACTGCCAGAAGGAAGACTTCCAGTTGGGCAGAGTCTGCACTTTCTTCCCAGGGCTGGTGGCAGCAGGGCTGCACCGGCCACCCAGACCCATGGGAGAGGCTCTGGAGAGCATGGCCACCGTGGCCCCGTCCAGAGATGAGGTCCTGTGTGTGGGCAGACCAGGGCCACCAGGCTCTCCCTGGCTGTCCCTAGGGACCTCCTCGGATCCCCATCCCACTGTGCACTGCTGACCCCCACGTGGGGAGGTGGGCCCTTCCAGGGCTGTCGCGGTGAAGAGCTGGCTGTGTTTGTGGATGAGGACAGTCATCAGGTGCTGGACTAGCGAAGTGCCTGCCAGGAAAAGAGGAGAAAGGGCTTGCTGTGAGTGGCCCCAGGTGAGTGTCTCTAAATCAGTCAGGACTGGGGAGCTGGGGCTCGGACCCAGGTGCCTAGCCCTGCAGCCAGGAGCCAGGCTGTTCCTCAAGGGCGCCTTCACTGGTACCTGGAGGAAGGGACTGCCACACACCCTCCAAATCAGTCACAAACAGGACAGTACCCAAGAACGGCCTTCCTCAGACACAGAGCCTCAAGTAGGGAGGAAGCCAGTGCCTCCTGCCCACACCCACTCCATCCAGCTGGCACGATGCCTATCAAGGCTGCGGGATGTGCAGGCGGCAGGTGGAAACTGGAAACCAGCACCAGGGATGTGAGAGTCCTCTCAGCTGCCCCATGTCATCCTCTGTGCTGCTGACAATGGCTGCGCCCAACTGTCCACACTCAGGGGGTCACAGGGCCCTGGGACAGGGAGCAGAGCTGTCCTGTGTCACACAATCACAGACGCACACAATCCCCCTTCTCCTGGAGATATAGCAGCCTAATTCTGGGGACTGCATTCCTGAGGTGGCGACCAGGCAGGAAGAACCACAGTATCTACCCCACAGCCTCATCCCCGTCACCCACAACCAAAGAGCAGAGGCTGGGGAGGCTTTGCCAGGCGGTAGGGAGGCTGGGGAGCCTGGGTGGGCCCTCCCAGTGAAGGCAACTGGGAATCTCGGGAAAAATCACGCAAGGGATTTCTTAGGCCAAAGACGAGGTGAAGCGGGAACTCAGTGAAGTAGGTGGGCAAGCGCTGGCCCCAGAGTTTTTGCAACCAGGCAGCAGGAGCTGGGGCTCTCCTGGCCTCAGGGGCCCTGCGGCTCGATGCCCAACCAGGGTAGGCCAAGTGGGGGCCTGAGCACGAGTGCCACCCCAGGGGCTACACCCTCAGCCCAGGGAACCAAACGGCTCCACACCCGCCCAGCACGCCCGCCTCTCCCCCACGGTCACGCTCAGCAAGGAGTGGCAACTCGGCCCCCATCCCGGCCAGCCTCGTCACTCCTGAGCGGGGACCTCAGGAGTCCCTGACTGCTTGGCTGTCGGTTTCCTGTTTGCGGAGACTCGACTCTCACGCTAACCCCTTCTGGTACATTCTTCCACAGGGCCTGTGAGAGCGGGCGCATTTCTGCGCCAGCCCGCCCCAGCCCTTTGGTAAGTCTGGCTGACCAGCCTCATCTGTGGAATGGGGCAATTTCCCCAGCACGGGCTGGTTGTGCAGATTGGAATCAGGTGATACAAAGAGGCACTTAGGAGCACACTGAAAGCAGCTGCTGTTGCTGCATTTTTATCATTTTATCATTATTTATCATAAAGAGAAATCCCCATGATGTGCAAAGCTCAGACATCAGGAAACTATGACAATTACTTAATCAGAAAATTAAAGCAAAAACGTCTGTGTGTGTTCAAGGGCAAAGATACTGATCTCTCTCATTCACAGCAAACGCTGAACATTCTAATTGCATCTAGTGACCCACTGCTACAGACACAGGGTAAGGTTCCTATGGGGCGGGAGGAGGTGAGGTCAAGAGACACTCCTGCCAAGTCCCTAGAGACAGAGACAGTGCCACCCTAGCCACCCCTCCTGCTGGCCTAGGCCTGGGCTGGAGTGGCTCCGAGGACTTGGCCAGACCAAGATGAGGCCAGACCCCAGCGGCACCCGCTGCCACCTGGCACACCTCCCCATTACCTTCCATGATGGTCACTGGGTCCTCTATCTGTGGCCGTAGTATGTTAGGTCCAAAAACGGTCGCCAGGTTCTGGACGCTCATCTTATTGACATCCGAGTGGGACTGAACTTCATCCAGAAACCTGGAAAGTAAGGAGGCAGCAGCTGGTGAAGAGGCAGATTCCAAGGCCCAATTCCCATGCCCCACCCTGCCCCACCCCACCGTCCACAGGTTTCCACAGCTGCTGGCCACAGCCAGTCACCCCTGCCAGGCTTGGATGAGGGAAGAGCTTTCCAGGGGTCTGGAAGGGCCATCAGGAGCAGAGGTCCCTGGCACAAGCACCTGTCTTCAGTGTGGAAGGAGGAGACTGTGAGGCTCTCCCGCCCACTGTGGAGGCAGATGCCTGGAAGGCCCAGGTCCCCAGGAATGGGCCGGGTCAGGGGCACTCCTGCATGCCCTCCCAGTGCCGAGGACGAGGGCACATGAAGGCCTGTGGTCCAGCAGCAGATGCCCAGGGCGACAGGGTGGTGGAGGTCCCAGAAGGCCCAGAGGGCGTGTGCTCAGCCACACTCAGCACAGCTGTGTGGGGCGGTTGGATGACCCGATGGGGGGTGACAAGCACGGAGCCAGCACAGGACTGGGCAGCCCCCGCCCTGTGCCACTCACTTGCAGATGTATCTGAGCAGGTTGTAATTGGCCTGAGGAAGGTCGCTCACTTGTTTAGCCAACTCCAGAGTCCCCTTGGGAATGAAGGAGGGAAACAGGATTTTAAACATCAGCAGGAAGGTCCGGGTCCTGCTCTGATGGGGGAAGGGAGGCGAGGGGAAGCGAAGCGGGGCCCTGCCCCGGCTGACCAGAGGCTGCACCGCCTCGCTCCCTCCGAGGAGGGGCCAGGGCCAGGCTCTGGCCTCCTGGGGAAGCTGGTTTACTTTCAGGGAGCTGGTGTGGGGGTGAACTCTGCTAGGCCTCAGAGGAATGTCGAGGCCAGCGCTCAGCTCACTTATCAAGGCACAAATATTTGCTAGATAACGACCCCTCGTCCCCCGCACGGCCACAGGGAGGGCAAACAGTCCTTCTCCCGCCCCGGCTGGTCCAGGCTGCACCGGCAGGGCAGGGAGGCAGGAGGGCTGGACCCTCTGACCTAGGAGCAGTCTCAAATTCTTTTGGGAAGGAGGCAGGATATAAACAGATAAAAGGGCTCCTTGTTTCTGAGCCCCACAGCAGGCCTGAGTCGGGCCTGAGAGAAGGCGGTGGGTGGAGTAGGAGCACCCCTGCTGTGGCGGCCAGAGCTGCAGAGCTGGCCCCTGAATGAACATGGCCCACCTCAGGAGGCA